AGTTGTGACAGGAATCAGCGAAACTGTCTTCCTAAAGCTTCAGTCAACGCTTATTATTTATGCGACGTTCCGTTGCGGCAGAGCCTGCGCTGCTGCACGCGCGAGCACCCTTGCTGTTAGCATGCTATCAGGAGCTTCGAGAGGATCCTTAAAGTTCACGTGTGATTTTTCGTTTTGAGTTTCTGTTCCTTTTTCCGGGTTTTGCACCCCGTCGTCAGTCATGTGGCTCCGGAGGATTATTCTTTCCAGTGACTCTTTTCATAATGTTATTTCATTTTAATAAACGGCTGTCATCAACAGGTCATTGTGGCCTTCTGTGCTTAATGTACTTAAAATGGAATGTTCCGGAATGCACACTTCCGCTGTTATACAGGCGCAGCGTTCAGATTTCCACTTTCCACCTCCCCCATGTGCTGTTTTATTTCTGCTTTGTATGCCTCACCGTGCTCCCATCTTTTGTCATTTATTTCACCCCCACATTACTGCCCTTCTGCCCCCCCACAGGTCAGCACAACTACCTGTGCGCTGGAAGAAATGACTGCATCATCGACAAGATCCGGAGGAAAAATTGCCCGGCGTGCAGAGTACGCAAGTGTCTTCAGGCCGGGATGAATTTAGGAGGTGAGGACCAGAAGCCCCTTTGTTCCATTTCTGTGAGAATCTATGGCCTTTCTAGGCCAGAATATGAAAATAATATGCTAGCTAAACTGGGGATGCCAACAGAGTGACTGGTCATTAGCAGAACAAGGAATCTGATGCGTTCGAAAGATGTAACACTGATCATTTGCCCCTGGCATGGTGTGACAGGAAAGTAAACCCCACTGAAATAGCTGCTTAAATGCCTCTTCCTCAGTAACTTTGGTTGTAATGGAACAAGTAGCTGTTACTGCTACACAGTTTGATGCATGACACTTCAAGATTGTTTGGCTTTTTTGTTGATGTGTGAATGTTTTGTTCGTATTGCTTGTTGCCAACCAAGCCCTTACCCGGCAGTACAGCAAACCTGATTGGTGTCCAATTAAGCACAGGACTCGAGAACTGGGCCCAATTGTCAAATTGGAATTTCAGTGCGGTCACTTGACCGGAATCTTTGCCAATGCCGAACCCGCAACTGCGTGTATCAGTCACGCGGGTTAAACTGGTATAATCAGGTTATGATTCTCAAGCTGAATCGCAGGCGTGATATGTAATGTCCATTGTTTGCCTGAGCGAAAACCCTTGGCAGCACGTGATTGGTCAGGGCTGGAAGCCGAGGGACCAATCGTCTGTTGCGCACGGGAGCGATTAGCCCTAAGCGCAGTGCTAATGCCCGGGCGGGACGCGGACCGTGCGGCTCGGTCGCCCAAGGTCACGGCAGCCTGGTTGGAAGCCAGCAGGTTTCCAGACCGTGTAAGACGTCCTCGAAACTGACCACACCCAGCAGTAGTGTCCCCCCCCCCCCTTCTCATTTGGGTTGGCCCAAATGTGACGCTCCCCAACTGGCCCGTTCACCTGCACCGCGACCGATCCGGCAGTCCTCGTGCGAGATCACGTCGTGACTTTTGGCACCACTTTAATTTGTTGGGCAAAGGTAAACAATTTGTCTCTTCATTTCCCTTCTCAGCATCTAATGGTGGAAGGCAGCATAGGAGGCCAGGGAGATGTTAATGTGTGATTCGAAACAAGGTGACAGGTGAAGGTGTTGGCTAAACCGGTTAGCTACACTCCCCGCGCTGGTTATCCGCTAACCCTGTAAAGCCGCCCCGAGCTGTTTCTCTCACTCAGCTCCTGTTTTCCTTCTGGGTTTGGTCCCTGGCACCCGCCTTACCAGTGCCTGGTGCTAAATTCCACCTCTCTCTGAGACCTGTCCAGGCTGCTGTCCCTGGTCCACGCCCCCCCCCAACCCCACCCCAGACGGTCAGAAGGAGCAAAGCTGTCAGGCCCAGCATTTCCTTTGACTCGGCTGCACATGCACGAATCCGAAGGCTTTCCCAGTGCCCACATTACAATAAGCTTCATGATGCACATTATTAATACTACGCTTCTGCTTCCATTAAAATACATCTTCTTGTCAGTTTTAAGCTTTGAGCTCGGAGCGGCAACTGGAGAGTTTGGAAATGCTATAGAAATACGTGTCTTTTCTTTGCATGTGTGTGTTTAGTTTTGTAGGTTATCTCCAGGGAAACGGATTTTATAATGACATTTAATCCACGTCTGATTTCCTCTGCATTTACTGCTGCACCGCTGTGGGATTTGCATTGAGCAGCGGTTGATTAAAAAACTCGTAGAAAAGGTAATTGCAGTAAAAAGCCAGTTTAATTCAGGGCTCAATATTGATATTATGAGATTTCGATTTAAAATAAATAAATAAATGTGTTTTAGATTTGCTTATTTTTCCAAAAAGCTTGCACTATCTGATTTTTTTGATAGAGATATTTAGTTGAAAGCAACAGAAAACCTGGTTTTACATTTCTCTGTCTACGTTCCAAATAAATCTTTCATTTTCTTGAATATCACAAGAGAGGCATCTCTTGTTGCCGAATGAGGCGTGTTGATTTTTTTTTCTCCTTTTAAAAAAAGCACAAAAATAAAATTTTAAGTTTGCCAGTAAATCTACGTGGTGCTGCAGAAGTGCGCTGTGTATCAAAGGCTCAGCGCGGGCGTAATTCTAGCCTCTCAGGCCTGGCGTGTTTGGATATCATCAGCGTTCAAGGCTTTGCGCTCGGTACTGTTGGTTTTCTCATTATTTTGGACTCTGAGCCCTTCTCCGTTGAAGGATTTTCTTGGTGGTGGGGGGGGGGGTTTTGCATGCACCGCTATGTAGTTGCACAGATGCACCTCGTTTGGGCTCACGCCTGTCGCCTTGTCTTCCTGGCCGCAGCGAGGAAGTCCAAGAAGCTGGGGAAGATGAAGGGCGTGAGCGAGGAACCACTGCCCTCACTGCAAAGTCCCAAGGAGGGCCAGAAAGAGGTCGGCCACGGCGGAGCTCTGGTGCCACATACCCCGGGGGTGACCCCCTACCTGTCGCCCTCCATCTGCAGCGTGCTGGAGCTCATCGAGCCGGAGGTGGTGTACGCGGGCTACGACAACACCCAGCCGGACACCACCGACCACCTGCTGTCCAGCCTCAACCAGCTGGCAGGGAAGCAGATGATTCGGGTCGTCAAGTGGGCCAAAGTGCTTCCAGGTTAGGCGTCTCGGCGTCAAGCATGTGCACCGTGACCCAGCGCCGGCGTGGTAAAAAAACTGCGTTAAAGGTTAACTATCATATAATGTCTGTAGGGATGCTGTAGAGTGGCAGCGAGCTTAAAAAAATTGAAATGTAATTGGATTAGTCCGGGTTGGAGGCCCAATATGATTTGTTTTCATGGGGCCAAAAATCTCTAGAGGTGAACCGGAATGTCTGAACATGGTAAAGTCAATGAAGGGTCCGTAACACTTATTTGTCAATTAAATTATATAACACAAGTATGCAAAAATCAGACCTTCATCTTCAGGAAGCCCCAGTCTGTGTGAGATGTTTTTTTGCATTCCGAACTGATGGTGTTCAGTTGTTTCTTTGGTAATATTTAATGTGCTGCATCACAAATATTTGATGCTTCCCGAGTGTCTGTGCTCAGTATCGGGGTTTATAAATAGCCGGTTAGACGGAGAGTGGGTCGTAATGCGTCTCGCCGACACGCAGAGCGGCGTACGCCCACACGCGCGGAGAGCCCTGCGCCGCGCTGCCGAATTAGTGCGGATCGCGTCGCATTCTCGCTAGTGATGGGCGTATCTAGGTGGGGGTGGGGGGTTGCTGTTGTATTTTTTGTTTTTAGGGAAAGGGGGACATGCCTTTGAGTATTTTGTGTAGAGGGATGTTTTTGTATGTGGTAATTAGTAAGTAGGAAGGATAGGTGAAGGGGCTGTCTCTCGCCCGCCATAAGAGCGGCCAGTGACGCGTAGCCATGAACAGATTCCTGGCAAGCCTTCCGTGCCCAAGCGCGGATCGGCGGGGGAATAAGCCGAATCTTCCTCGGGAGTTTGCGCTGAACCAATTCCCACACGCTACCGCAGCAGGTCGTACGTAAACAGACGCGAGAGTCTCCCGGCCCTCCCCCACCCCGCCCCCGCAGGTGGCCTCAGATGAACCCACTGAGGACTCCAGAGTACCTGTACCGCTGGTGGGGGGTGTCGTCATTAAAAAGCCAGGCCCGTCACCTTGCAGTTACGGGCTCTCGTCTCAGCCAGGTCACGCCGCGGCTTTCGCGCCGAAACCATTTATGCTGAATAACTTCAGCGTAAGTGGTGGCGTGTCGCGTGATGTTCGACTCTGATCCATCGTGCCCGGCGTTGGCACGGCCGCTCACGTTCCCTTCTCTTCCCGCAGGTTTCCGAAGTCTGCCCATCGAGGACCAGATCACCCTCATCCAGTACTCCTGGATGTGTCTGTCCTCCTTTGCACTCAGCTGGCGATCCTACAAACACACCAACGGCCAGATGCTTTACTTCGCCCCGGATCTGATTTTCAATGAGTAAGCCCGGGCGTCCCTCCCCGTCCCTGAGCGTGCATGCATGTGCGGCTCTGTGTTCATTTCACCCGCATCAGCTGCACAGGATTTTGCCCGCGTGCTTAAATCTGTCCCTATCCCACGATCTCCTCAGAGAGTTGAATTGAGAGTGAGTGGAAAACTCAAAAGCTGCGGGCCTGTTTTCTTGACGGCAGAGATTGTTACCATAATGGGCTTATTGTCCCTGAAAAAGGAAGTGATTACACAGAAGTATTGTTCCTCAGTTATGCACACTCGATCAAAGAGCGGCGCGGGGCGAATACAATGGAGGATCTGCAGTTTATTTGACCAGAAAACACTGGAGTCTGAACTATGAAGCAGCGTTTCCCAGCCCCGTGGAAGATGCATTACGGCCTGTCCGCGTCGGGCTAATGGAGATGAAAGTTAAAGGAGGCAAGAAGTGACCCCTACAGGCCACTCGTTGAGATGCACGAGACGTGAAACGGGCCATGAAGCTCACAGATGAGCACTTGATACCCAACCTGGTCTGTGCCATATCACAGTTAGGAAATTAGTCAGCTGATGGTACTTTGGCTGAAGGTTTTTTTTCTTTTTTTCTTTCTTTTTTTCGGACACTTTAAACCAGTTAGCCTCAAGCTTTGCTGCCTCACAAATCCAGAGATGGGGAGGGTTTGAACTTTACCCCTGCGATGTGTGTGTGTGAGATGGTTACAAAGATAGGCAGCCAGGTGAATCGGTGCCTCTAAATTGCCTGTAGTGTTTTCTGTGTGTGTGTGTGTGTGTGTGTGTGTGTGTGTGTGTGTGTGTGTGTGGTGTATGTTAGCCCTGCTATGGACTGTCATCCCATTCAGGCTGTTTCCTCCGTCTCTGTTGTCCCCCAAGACCCCTAGAAGATGGGCAGGTGGATGTTTCCTCTGTTTAAAGCTCAGGGAATATGTGTTATTCTTCCTTTAAATTACTGCAGCTTATGCCGGCCTCCACAGAGCAGTGTGCAGGTCCTGCATGACTGCCAGCTGAAAAGCCCCAGCTGATTTAGGGCCTTTGTTGGTCGAAAAACCAGGTCGCCCTGTGTCACCTCTGTCATCACGGCAGTGAGGGAGTCGTGTGACGTAGGCCGGGAACGCGGAGCCTTATTCTGACATCTGACTGATCGGCGGTTCTGCCTTGTGCTGAAGAGTCCGCTTACAGCGGGGCTTATCTCTGAAGGTACCTACCTTTAAACATGCTGACTTTACAGGTCAAGACTGGTTCCCTCGGCCAAGCAGAAATAACTAACGGGAAATAAATAGCATGAAAGAGGCATGGATGGCTTGATGCTTTAATCTGGCTCAACGATTAAAAGAACCCATTTGGGAAGTTTTGTGGCTATTTATGTGTCTCTTCTGAGGAAGTCTAGTGGTCTTTCCTTACGGCGCCAAGGGAAGGGTTTGAATTTTGCCCCCATTCGCTCCCCTCACGCTCACTTGTCGCCGTTCCCCCCGCGGCGATCTGACTTCCCGGCTCGTCCCTGTAGCCGCCACATGACGCCGACTCTGCCATAGCAACGCGGGTGGCTGCCAGCAGAAGGCAGGCTAGCTGTCGACCGTGCTGCCGTGGTCGGCAGGACCCGGGACGTTCGTATGCAGCCCCCTGAGCAGCACCGCTGTCTGACACCCGCGCTGGATTCGAGAAGCGGGGCTCCCTCCTGGAAGGCCGTCTGAGCTGCCGCATCTGGTTCCGTCCGCTCGCTTTCTTCCCGAGAGCCGACAGGAGGACCCTTCACAATGAGCCCCTTCCCAGCAGTTGCTCCAAGTGGAGAGTGTCAGGATGCTCGGGGAATCGAGGGGCCCCCGCGTTTCAGGTCAACCCTCTGAGGGGGCTTCGGCGAGCGCCGGAACGGTTAATCACGTGACGTTCGGCTAAGGGCTACCTGAGCGAAATCCTGACGATCGCAGCGTAACAAGTTCTAGAGGCGCGGTAAAGCCTGCGATATCGGGGCGAGGCGGCGGAATTAATGTGGCCGGTGTGCTTCCGTGGGGCGTGCAGTCGCGGTATAGCTGGTTCCAGAAAGGTGTTATTTTCAAATCTCCATCCAAAATAAGCGGGCATATAAATATAGAGATTAGTAAACGCCGCAGTGTAATTATCCGTTTTCATGTGCGTGCCCCCGCAGAGAGAAGAATTATGAAGTAATATGGCTAATTAAGGAACGGAAACTTGTAAACAGGACATTTGTGCAAGGATAACGCTTGTTCACAAACACCTTGGGATCGGCTGTTTGCACATATAACGCTGTGTATGTGGCGCATAGGGGTCAGATACGAATGTGGCCACCCTCCCCCCAGGCCTTGATTAATTGATTATTTTGCGGTCGACATTGCAGGGATGAGGAGTGTGGGCATCCAGAGCGCCTCCGCCCCCCCAGATTTGCGCCATCTGCCGCGTGAGCGTTAATTAGCCGTCTGGTGACCGTGGCCCTTTGCTGCTTGTCGCTCTGAGATGGAGAACTCCGCGTCGCCGTGCGCTCGCTGGACTCGACAACCGGACGGCTTTGATTACCGCGCCGGCTGGCCTTGGCGCGAGAGTTTCGTAGGGGTGTGTGTGTGTGTGTGTGGGGCCGAAGTGGTTCCTCTGATTGCAATCAGATCTGGCCGATCTCACACAGGAACCACACTGATGTCACCCTAACTCCCCCCCCCGCCCCCATCCACCCTTGCAGGGAGCGCATGCAGCAGTCGGCCATGTACGACCTGTGCCTCGGCATGCGTCAGGTCAGCCAGGACTTCATGCGGCTGCAGCTGACCTATGACGAGTACCTGGCCATGAAAGTGCTCCTGCTGCTCAGCACTGGTGAGTGATCCCGCCCCCTTTTCTGGTGACCCTGCCCTGTATTGACCCCGCCCCTTATTGACCCTGCCCCTTATTGACCCCGCCCCTTATTGACCCCGCCCCTTTCTTCCTCCTGCCCACTCGCAGTGGCTGTGATCCTCTTCGCATTTGTGTAGCCTCAGAGAGAGGCGGTGAGGTCTATTTAAATAGAGTTGCCATCTGATCAGTTAAGGCTGAGTCCCGTTAACAGATCCCGTGTGTATTTGCATAGCTGAGCGGAAAAAATAAAATTAAATAAAAAATCCCATTGTCACCTGACATCCAAAAGTGCTCGGTAATGACCACGGTAACAAGCTGAAGTGCCTGCAAACTGCTGGGGGTGGGAAAATGACGCCGCGCACTCGACTGGGCCAGCAGGGAGCAGCACGGTTAAAGATACGGCGCGACCCCGCGTCCCGCTGAGTGCCGCCATGGCGGATCTCCCAAGATGCACCTGTGCACGACAGCGCACAGCGGGCAGCCCGCTGACAGGCGCGAGAGTTTGGAGATCTTCCGCAGCTCCTTGACATTTGTTTGTGAGCAGGAACAAGATAAGTATGGACAGAGAGATCTGTGGAGCGCGGCTCTGCGGGGTTTGGAGGGGTCCACCACAGCGGAATGGGGTGCGACCAGGCCACTGTCTCTGGGAGGGAAAAAAAAATGAGATGTCTCGAGATGTGGAAATATTTATCACAGTCACTATACCTTCAGCGAGGTACATGTTTGCCTCTGGCAAAGATGGCTACTGCTTCCACTGTGTCCTCGTCTTCCAAGCAGATTGGGGTGCATTGTTTACGCAGGAAGATGCTGGAATTTACGTATTGTGTGTGTGTGTGTGTTTGCACACGCGCACTCATTTAAGTGACTTTGGACTGATATTTCAGGATGGATTGAGACTTTTCTCCCAATCCTTTGGGGTTTCTTGTCTGTTCATCCTCAGTTGGACGTAAAACCTCTTAAATATCCTTGGAAAAACAAAAAACTTAAGTTACCTAAATGTGAAGCTATAGGTCTTTATAGGTTAGTGTTTACAGGCCAAAGCTCGCCTATGTGACATAGCAGTTTGTAGTTTTCATTCATTGTACCTTTACGGCTCTTTATAATTTTGTTACATTGTTTCTCTGTGTGTTTTCGTTTGCCCCGCATCAAACGGGTGGGTGCTGGGCTTCATGTGGCTGCCTGGTGAAGGTCTTGCAGGGCCCGGCCCGGCCCGCAGCCTCAGGTTCTCCTCCAGGAGGCCCCGGGTTGCCTGCGACGTCGGAACCTAAGGCAGGAGGCAGGCCGGCTCAGCGAGGCCTACCTGTCATGGGGATCTCGGGGGAATCTCAGCTCCGCCGCATGTCAGACACTTTGAGTATGGTTGCTGCCTCGGCCCCCCTCCCCCGCGGGGTGCTTGGGCTCTGTCAGCATGCAGGGCCTCAGTGGCTTCTCTTAAAGAGCGACTCACGGTGCCCCTGTCTCTTCTCGGTACCACCTCTGAGCGGCCGGTTACAACTACTCCCCGGGTTTCAAATATATTTCCAGCATGACTTCCATCAAGCTTATTTTGTCCTTTAACATTTCATAAAACTCACTAAAGTGTCTCAGGGAGGTTTATTACACAATTAATTTATTGGCTGTTTAGTCTTATTATGCTGTTTTTTTTTTTTTTTTTTTTTTGCTCGTTCTGTGGTTGTCCTCATCTGTTTTTATTTTTTCCCTCCCTTTAATCCCCTTAATTCTTTTGTTTTTCTTTTTCTTTGACCCAGAATTTCCCGCTTACAGATGATTATGAGGCTCCCTCACATATTGCAGTCTTTATTGTCCGTTTCATCTGTCAGGAGTCATTCGTGATTTTTATTATAATCTTTTTTTTTTTTTTTACAGGAAGTTTTCTTTGAGAGCCAGACAGGAAGTGAAAGATGTTTGAGCCCACGGGCTACATTTGCTGCATTTAGAGAGTGGAGCTACCCTTTTGACCTTGGCTGGACTCTCACCCGGCCATTGTGAAACCTCATTTCCGATATCTAGCTAAGGACAAATTCACGACGTCCGAGACACCAGGCTACGCAGTCAGAAGTTAGATTTAAAGGGCAGGAATCCTAAGCAGGATATTCTCTGTGGCTTTTGGACGGAGCCACACATTATTTCAGGCACTTCTTCGAGAAATAAACGTCCTGTAATGCACATTCCCGACTCGATTTCCCATGCACAGTCTACGAGGCTGCTGCCTTCTGCCGAAAATGCCACATTGACAAAAAAAAAAAAAAAACGTATCTAGCAGGTCTGCGTACGGTAACCGAATTCTTGCTATATATATATAAAAAAAAAAAAATGGCGTTGCTGTGTGACTTGAGAACTAATTTGCATGAACAAGTGTCGCACACAGATTGGGGGGCGCAGCCTCGCAGCCGCATGTCGTACAGATCTTCAGGAGATCTGCCTTTCTGGATTGATCGTGCAAACTGCCGTTTTTTTAATTTTTTTTATTTTGTCATTTAAACCGTACACGAGGGACAGCCCTGATGCAAGGGGCCACGTTGGGGAGAGGCCCCAGGCACGCCGAATTGAGCTGAATGTGGAAGCGTCATAGCAGGCCGATGACATACATTCTTAAGTCCTTTAAGCTGACGAGAAGCCCATCCCTTATCCCATTGGTCGGTTATTATCGAACAGTCCGCCCTCTAGCAAGATGAAGTCATTCAGTTGAAACGTGCGTTTTTTCATGCATGCAAATGGTCAATACTTACTCTTTTCTATTATATTTTATGTTTCAAACTGTGTGGAATGCAAATTGAGAGCTCTAGTAGCATTTTAGTAGGTTTCTCTGCAGGTAACATTCCAGGACAGTGGTCTCCAGTCCTTTATACAATGAGAGCTTCTTTTACAAAGTAGCAACACTGTATTAGGACATTATGCTGGTCATAGATTTTTCTGACAGGGTGCCGGGATTGACTAGCAATGTCTTGAAGATCGACTGGTTGGCGACCACTGTTCTCAGATACTCACCGGGTCATGTGACAGGATTGCAAAATATTCCGCTGATGATATCGGTGTTAAAAGTATAATGGGAGCAGTGGGTAGCGGGTAGCGAATCGCCACGGTAACGTCCGGTGGTAAATTGAGCCGTGTGAAGACAGTCAGGCTGAGCTGTGCCTCTAACTGGCAGAGGACCAGTTAGCAGCAATTAGCAGGCCAGCACGGCCGCCCTCACCTTGGAGGACCAGTCCTGAAATGCCAGCCTCTGCCCAATGAACGCTGTGCAGGTAGCAGACAGGCGTGTTCCCCGGAATGTGCCAGAGCCCCCCTGCTGGTTGGGTGCCGGGAACCAGCGAGAGCTCGGGGATATCAGCGCAGTGCCGTCCTGCTGGACATGGGGCCCGTGGGAGCGTACCCCCCCACCTGCCGCAGGGGTGTGTCAGAGGGGCCAATGCACGAAGTATGAATGACGAATAGCCTTAAATTCAGCACCTTAAACCTTAAATTCCCATGTCGGACAGCGAACTGTCCCAGTGAATCTCCCGGAATGCAAACAGAACAATGCCGTGACCGTGAGTCCCGTGCTCTTTGACGACAACAACCACAACAATATTAATCATAATTAATAATAATAGTGATAATTAAGAATTAATAATGATGATGATGATGATGGCAATCTAGTCTCTGCAAAAAAGACGCAGATTCTTTTTTTTTTTTGGTTGAGAATGATTAGGAATAAATAACTGAAATTCAGGAAACCTCTTCTATATCCGGAAGTTTGACATTTAATATTGTGCTGTTCGGTGTCTAATGTGAACCCATCTTTCCCCAGCTATGCATTGTAGAAGTTTGTAGCGTTAAACCTTAAAGCCAAGGCTCCAAACTGGTTTTTGTTTTAATCTCAAATGCTATTTCGGAAACATGATAGCTATTCGTTAAGCTAGAAAGAAGTATTTTTCTGAATATCATTGAAATGTTTGGCTGTGTTCCAAGGAAGCCTTTACTCTCAGAGGAATAAGGAGTAAGAACATATTAGAGTTTTCCTCTGGACACAGTGTCATTATCGCACTGGCCCTGGCTTCACTGACGTGCCAAGGACATAATCTTTGCTTCTGATGCCCTTTGCTACATCAGTTATGATTTTAAACTTTTGTTACACATTCTCATCTTCTTAAAAATTGATCTGTCTGTCAATGGCATTGGTCTGAATTTTTTTCAACGTCCTTAAAATATTTTCTGTTGCTTGCAGTGCCAGTTAAACCAGAAACTGAAAAATGTAATTAATTACTTTTGAACTGGAGAGATGGTATTTCTAAGAGGGAATGAGCTGTCATTTTATGGTAATAAAGCAATAATATTTGCACTTAAGTGCTTTTTATACTGCCGCTTTGTGTTTGAGAGTATCAAATGAAAGTAAAACTAAAAAGCTGAGTAAATTTTTGATGATTTTAAACAATGTACTAGTGAGTACTTAACTCTTCATTGTTCATTTTTGTTCATCGAGAAGCACCATTTTGTTGTATTACATTTTGCTCATAAGGTGCACAATTTGTTTTCCTCTATTTTTGCAGGTACAATTTGTTTTATTGTTTTTTTTTTATTTTTTGGAGGCACCATTTTCATTGTTTCATTTTGTTCTCTGGGTCCCACCTGTGTAGCTTTCAGCAGGCAATCGATCTAACACAGTATTAACCATGGGCACAACGCGAGTGTATTTGAAAAGCTGAAGGCAGCTTCACACGTGTGTAGGCCGTATGTCAGGACTGAAGATGAGGGAGATAAACAGCTCTATCAAACCTGCCGTCAATGTAATAAGATGTGCGTCTGTCCTCACAGTTCCCAAAGATGGTCTGAAGAACCAGGCGGCATTTGAGGAGATGAGAGTTAACTACATCAAGGAGCTGCGGAGGTCAGTGGGAAAGGCCACGAACAACTCGGGCCAGACGTGGCAGCGGTTCTTCCAGTTGACCAAGTTACTGGACGCCATGCATGACGTGAGTGTGACGCCACCCGCTGCCCATTTCTGAATTACACGTTAAATTGTGTCACTCATTCAGACAGAACACATCAAATCAGTGCTCGTATCGAACATATTTCTATATTACCTCAAATATGCTTACACTTTTTTGAGTGTTTGCAAACTCGTTGAGCTTTAGTCTCATCTGCTTTAGAGTACCATTTTGACCCGTTAATGCATATTTGAATTGCCAATTGTTCGGGGAAAACGCACACAGTAGACAATGCGTGCCTTTTATTATTGCCGGATATACTTCCTTTCGAGAACGGCTTTGTGACAATAACCCAGTGCGCTCCAGACCTTGTGACTTACGGAGGAGCGTGCAGCCTGTTTCGGGTCTGTGAAGGCGAGCTCTGTGCACAGAAACGTCGAGCTGTTGAGCGGGGAAGAAGCTACTTGAACAGCAGTGGTTGATTCATTGAGATCTGGCTCCCTCGCTTTCCCACCCATACCGCCCTAAGTGATGAACCATAGTTCCTGCGGAGTATAATGAACCATATGGATATATCTTCTATCTACACGCCTAAAACCTGTTACGTTTCCGTGGCGAGCGTTCCGATCTGTTTTAAATAGTTAAAAGTTTCTCCCCGGCATTTTCAGAATTTCAGCTTGGGATGATGAACTATTGAGTTCCATCTGCTACTGTTTGTTTACCAGCCGGCATCTGTTTGTTAGTCGGCGTTCGGAAGTGCTTGAATTAAGTCCTGAATGAGAGTTTATTTGAAAGAAGCTTTCGGGCATTTTAGGCCCGTGACCTACTTTTGAAAATAACAAATGGCGGGGAATAAAGTTGATTTGGTCTTAACTTTGTGAGATGAAATTCAGTCGCTGTGATTTGCTTGTTTTTGTAACAGTTGCTGGTACTTTTTTTTTTTCTTTCGTTAGCATTGCGAACAAATAGCCAATCAGTGTGGAAATGTGTAATTTCTGACCATCTCTGTCTCCAGCTGGTGGGAAACCTTCTAGACTTCTGCTTCTACACCTTCCGGGAGTCGCAGGCCCTGAAGGTGGAGTTTCCTGACATGCTGGTGGAGATCATTAGCGACCAGATATCGAAGGTGGAGTCCGGTCTGACGCACACGCTTTACTTTCACAAGAAGTGAAGGAGGGATGGCACTCGGCTCAGATAAGAGGGAGAGAGAAAGTGGGGTCTCGGCCGGAAGTGGGCCACCCTCGACCCCGTGCACTCGTGGATGGAATGGGAAGGGGGAGGGGGGGGGAGGAGCACAGAAAGCTTGGAATGGCAGCGGCAGAAGTGGCAACGGGGCGATTGCCTGAAAAGGATGAAGCGCTTGTGACGCACTTTGACACGACGGAGCAGACCCGTACCCCCAAAGACGGTGACAAAGACGGCGGTGACGGCACCTCCTGATGGATACTAAGCCATACGTCTGTTGGGTCAAACCACACACCTTCACGGCCATGCGGACATGTGCCCTCACACCAATGGGGGGGAAAAAAACTGTTTTTCACACAGTATGGCTACCTTTACAAACGAAATCAAACAGAAGCCATCCCTTCGCAGTACGTTGGTCGTCGTGTCAACACTGCAAACAAAAACACTTTAATTAAAGAAGGAGGTGCCATCTTCTGCATCTAGGAAACGTCCTGGACGTGAGGTTAATATTGATATCTCAGCATCTGCAAGGGCTATAGGAGTTCAACCATAAATTGGAAAGTAGCATAAAAACAATATGTAAAAGTAATCTGATAAGTATATATTATAAATATATATTCACAAAAAAAAACACCTTTGTGCATAAGCATCAAACACCAATCAAGCTTTTACTGATATGCAAGATAGAAATAATCAGATTAATTGTTTTTAGTGGGAAGATGCTCTGTACAGGAAATTGGGGACTGGGGAAGCTTCAGCGTACTGGTGGGCTGTGGAGCTGCTGATGCTGGACTTCACACACAAATATGCATTAAGGAATGCTGGGAATCATTTTGGTCCAAAACCTCCGCTGGACGACATGCAGAAGACCAGAATCTCGGTTTGACTTGGTTCTGTTTGCAATATGGCGTTAACTGTTTCTTTTTCCCCTTGATAGGATGTGTGACTGTAATATACTCAAATCTTTCCCATAATTTGTCTGCCATTAATTTTACATCTGTTTATAGTCATAAGGTCGATTACTCATTCTCTTAAACCAGCTTTTTGTAAAAAACAGTAAGTACACTTTATTTCAGGGTTCCAGCCAAAAACTAGGAATGCATCGCAACGGTTTTTTAAAATCACATCTAACAGATAAACCTTTTTTTCAAACAGGGTGGTGCTTTTTATTATAATGTAAAGCTTGCTGCATACAGACTGACTGTGGGTCTTGTGCGCTGCACGCGACAATTTACACCGAGTTTTTACAATGAGCAGAAACATTTGTACTGGAACCTAAAAATAAAGTTGAAAACATAAATTTGTCTACTTTAACGCTGAGTAAAGAGTAGGAATATACTTACCTGGCAGAAGTAAATTGCATTGTGTTAAATAACATTTTTAGATTCTATACTAAATAAGCTTACAGTACCCAGTAAGGTAACAGACGGTGACTGATATGTCAGTCAACTTATTTCTTTTTTCAGTATTTTCACATCACTTTATGTTCATTGGGCTAATTCTGTAGGTTTGGACCATTTTGTAATTGATATTTTATCCATATAAAATATAGTATTGGAGATCCCTTTTCGACGAGGCAATAATAGCGGACGCCTAATACCGTACGGTAAACACAGGGCCAACTGCTCCGAGTTGGCAGGGCGGTTGACGTGGCGGGATCCGAGAAAAGGAGCGGCAGTGACAGACATCGCAGGGCGATTTCCCCGTCGTCACTCACAGGATATACCTACATTCTAACTGCCCACCTTAGATTTGCACAGAAGATTATATGTGACGTTAGAGGCATTAATTAATTACTAGCTTTGCTGCGTGGCTGAAAAAGAGATACGAAAGGTTAGAAGCAGCTCGGTTTCTACCCTTATAATTTGCTTTATCGTATCACAATGAGGTGCTTTGTGTGTGCGCGTTTTTTTTTTTTTTTGTTCCCTGCACAAGGCCTTTGGCAGAATTGTGACGTGCACATTGAGAACAGCCTCCATTTTGTGACCTGTGCCCTTTACGTACATTTTCTTGCGTGAGAACATTTTTGAAGGACCTGAATCAAGCTGTAAGAAGTTTCTTTTGATTCCCCTTTTCTTTCCATTTTTATATATATATATATAAAGTAGAATTAATGTTAATGGTTCTTAGGAAGAATGGGAAAGTATTTTTGGAAGAATTATATTTTGCTGGAAACAATATTTAAGTACTTTGTCTAGGAAAAAAAAAAATTTTTGTAAAGTGAAATGTTTATGCATGCTTATTGAAGAGATGTTTACAGTGTATTTAAGAAGGGAAATTTGTGCCTTTTTATCTCATAATTTACCATTTTACAGTATGTTGTAAATAAGTGAGTCATTATATTGAGTAGTATATTTCATTTCTTTTGTTGGATGTTACTGTATGTTAATGTGGGCCCCAAAACATGCCCAGATTTAGACTATCGTGGTCTTTGGAGTTGGTACCAGAATTGGAGAAGTCAGAATCGTTTGGCAAACCTAATGAATGTACAAAAACGAAAGAAATACCAAACTACCTGAGTGTTAGATTTTTAAAGATGTCTGCTAAAAAAAAATACATGGTTTTTAATGCTCATTTATTTCGATGAGACCGTTAATTGGCAAAGCCAATTATCTCTGTTAAGAGAAAAGAAAAACAGAAAAACAATGGTTTGAGCTGAAGCCGATAATTTGTCCCTTGATGAAACTTGATTTAAAAGAAATATGTTGAAGTCTAATTAACAACTGGTTCATTCAATAGCTATAAACACAATTTACTTGACAGTGTACCTATTAGGATTCTGCTGTTAGAATACGGAATGTGACCAGTTGAGAGAAAAATCGGCAGTTTACAGTAGTGACAGACTGATCGGGATCCCAATTCTGCCGAGATTTTATTCTGGAGATGGTAAGCAGGGAAAGGGAGATGTCACTACGGAAACCATAAAAGATATACTTTTTTTTTTAGCGTTTCTATCTTGGTCTCGGATTATTTTAGCAAAAGCTCAAGTGAGAGCTCAGCCTTACGGGTGTCTGTATCTCGGAGGCTGGACTTGAAGGGTGTACTCTGCAGAAAACAGTCTATTTCTGACGGCTTGTCCCGAATCCAGGCTTAGAGGGACTTTGCACATGAGGGTTAAGAAGCAGTGAAGTAGTGCTTTTTTTTTGTTTTAAATTAAAAGGCCGGATATCAGGCATCCCTTCCTGTTCAGTTTATGAGCGTCTTTTCGCTGTTCCAGACTTACTTTTGTCCACGCCATCTGATTACTTAGCAAGCTGTCTTGCACAGAGACATTTTATGATCTTGCTTGTCCAGCTACAAGCCTATGCACCTGTATTTTCACAGTGCAATTTAAATCTGTACAGTTAAAGATATGTAGCTTCGAAAAGGTATTTTGACAGTTGTGCATAAAAAAACAAAAAAAAGTGACTTCACTTCATACTATTTCTGTGCAATGCAAGTATTTTAGTTGTTTATCAATCATAAGGTTTTATCCTTTTTGATATAAAATCTAATTGGTTAAAACTGGAGCTAATGTGTTTTCACTACTGTATAAATTAATCCAGAGTAGAGCAATTAAGCCATATCCCTAACAGTTCCCTGTGTTTCTGTTACTAGTTGATTTTTTTTTGTCGTTTTTAATCCAATGCTTTGTACAATATTTGTCTGCAAATATTCACAGTACATTTCATACTTCATTATTAAAAAATGCAAAACGATTAGTTCCTACCAACTTACTGTATATCTTGAAGCAAATATTGCTTTAATTGTATTTGCAAAAAAAAAAAACCAGTGAGGGATTCTAATAAACCCTTTAACAAAATCATGCGTTTCTGTTCCTTCAGACTGAAGAAAAATGCACAAATGTCATACTGCTGTGTTTGGTAGTTGAAATAAAATGCATCTGCTTCGTACAGCACTCCAGCAGAACAGAGAAGCAGCATCACATTTCGGCTATAAACATACAAAATACGCTGGTACCGAATCCGGTTTGAGACTCTGCTGGTCAGACGTGTCAGTGAGCCATACTATTCAAAGTGTGTGTTTTTAATGTAAATAGCGGCTGGCTGCCTGGCCTCATGTTACGCATCAGTTTAACTCTGCATCTTTTTAAACTCTCTTCCTAATTACATCCAGTATACAGACTATTGACAGATAGGCGTGGGAGGAGGATTTCCTACACCGCGGGGGGGGCTAGTCACATGACTGTGGGAGGTTCAGAGAAAACGGCCATTGGCGTTGGCTTTAGGCCCATTCTATCTGCACAGGAGCAGAGAGGGCGGCCAGCGATAGCAACAGAGAAGTATAAGAGAAAGACGATACAGAGAGCGTGAGAGAAATGGAAATGGGGGAGGGGGGAAGGGATGCGTATATAGAGGAGCAGATCACTCCCGGAGGACTTAAACATTAACCTTGTTATAAACCGATCTCCAAACATGCCAAAGTAGCAGACTGCAGCGCAGGCTGGGCTGCTTCTGCTCTTTTATGAAATCCGCAGCCCACTCCAAATCTCCCACAGACTCGCAGCAGCCCCCACGGTGCCGTAGTGCCAGATAAACGAAATCTAGCGGATCGGTCCGATTTCGCGGCTGCTTTTTCCACCACACCCCCCCCTTCCCCCAACCCAACACGGCAGTCGTTTATTTCAGCAAAGAGCGGCAAATGTTTTAATTCCCCTGCCCTTCAACAAATATATGGATTATTACTTGTGCTACTTAAACACTGCGGCCCATTATCATGCAACAGACGAGAGATGATGGTGGCGGTGGCAATAACTGTATTTTGCTTAACAGGAATTTAGGTTATTTATTTCCTGGCAGAGGATTAAGTTGGAGTATAATGATGTTACATCCTAATCCTACATCTAAACACTCTCTCATTCTGAAATAAATGTTGGTTATTACAGAGCAACAGTTAGAGATGCTGGAAAAACACTGAGGTACGAGGCAGCGGGGGTGGGGGGGAATTGTTCCGCAGTGCCCCCTACAGGAAGCCCTGATGCAAACGCGCCTCGCATGCGATGATGTGAATTCCGCCTACAAAACGAACAACGGGAGGCCCTCCGCCCACCACGCGGCCAGGCAGATGGATGTGGGACGGATTGCGGGTATGTCGTCGTCACCGGGCAAGAGAGACACCATCACGCAGAAGCACCCATCCGGAGTAACGGTACTGCTGCCCCCAGAGTAAGATACTCTGGGCTGCTTCCAATGCAAATGTACTCGGCAGTTGCGAGCGCCGCTAAGGGCACTGCGAGGTCTGCTGACAGGCGTGCAGGCCAAGGCGAAACGTCCGACTTCAGCACACCGGGAAAGGAGCAAGCAGAACACAGGACGATTCGCGGAATCGGTTAGCAGAATCATTTCCAGAACCTAAAATATTGTGCTTGGGATTCGTTATCTTTGCCAGGATGTGAGAATTGCCATCATCCTTACTGAAATGGGACCTGAGATGGCTAGCTGATGTCCTGTGGCAACTGTAAATCAGATTTAAAAAAAAAAAAAAAACAAGCCTACCCTTTTTTGCATCACATTATTACACAACAAACTAAAAAAAATCATTTTCTTTTAAAGTCCAGTACATAATTTAAACTCAACCTAGGACTGAGTGAAAGGTCACAGGCATATTTCTAGACACCCTAAATGGGCCCTATGTCAAGTAAGCGCCTCATTCGGAGTGGCTGTTTTGGTTGGGTATTTGCCCGTCTGCAATGATGCGCAGTAATAGTCATTAAAACACTGCGTATTAAGAACTAATGATCTATTACAATAATCAGTCGGACATACAAGTTTCCATTACGTGAATGGATTTGTGTGACGGAAAAAAAAAGGGAGGGAAAAAAATAATCAGGGCTATCTGGGTGGTCCCACACACCAATCCATCCATCCATCCATCCAAGACAGTATAGTTTTTCCATGCGCACCTAGGACGAGGACTGAGGGGGTGTGTTCTTGTAAAACTGACCTTTTCAAAGTGCTGGGAGAAAGTGAGGCTTCCTCACTCGTCCACAAGCGGTGATTCAGCGCAGCCATGCCTCTCCGGAGCTCCAAGACCTTTCGAGGCTGATAATCGCAATAATTTGCCCATCTCATTATCCCTGCCCCGTTTTGATTATGTAAGTGCCCCATCCCTAGGGCCAGGGGGATCCACCACCCACCCAAACCTGCAGAGTATTTTTTTTAGCACGGCCTGACAGCATACTTAAAGTGCCTGAAGCAGCCAGTCTTCATTATTACATAAAATATTACGCCCACTGGCCTGGATGTAACTCACATTAATTACACAGATGCACCCTAATATTAACACATTTGAAATGGTGCATGGCAGACTGAAACAGCTGGAAACGAACGCTAGCATTCGGCGAACGATACTGAAGAAGAGGCTGCTTCGGATTAGCCACAGTGCTAATACGATAGAGGCTAACTCTACATGCTAATTCTCAGATAGCACAAATAAAAATGAGACCAAATAATCCACCCATTGCCCATAACGGGGATTAGAGAGCCAGAAGTCTAATCCAAGATGTAAAGAGCACAAGACACAAGGCACCATGGACGGGATGCCATTCCATCTCAGGCCACCTATAATTATGCACTAAGGGCAATTTAGCGATACCGCTTCACTTAACTGCCTGTCTTTGGGGTGAGGGAGGAAACATGTAAAGATGGAGATACCTGATAATTCCGTGTCATGCATTTTCACCTTCCACCAGCAGGAGGCAGAGCAGCTAAAGGACCGGACGTCAGGCGAAAAGGTCACTGGTTTGAGTCCCAGCGGGTGAACTGCAAGTTTGTCAGGAATAATTGTCCTTAATGAGCAAACATCACCCTGTATTAAAAGCGAAGGATAATTAAGATGGTTTTGGATAACTGGCCACACTCATGTCTTGAATATCCCCCCAATATAAAAATTATTAAATTGCTTTTGCCAAATTTAAAACAAAGAAAATGGAGGTTTTCCAATAACAAAACGGTTCAAATTTAACATGCCCAGCTATAGAATTCTAATTAATTAGCTTGTCATCATATATATTTTACATTTTCTTACTTCCACACAGGAAAATTTCAAAAACAGGTTTTATTTCATACCAGTAAAATACTGTATATACACTGTTTGGAAATTAAATAGACAGGACCTTTAAAATCTTTATAAATCAAACCTCATCCAAAATTTCATCCCAAACAAAAAAAGACAAACTTTAAAAAAAAAAAAAAAAAAAAAAAGAGTAAATAAGCAAAGGATGTGTTCCTCTGAATCTGAAAGTTTCTAAGGACATGGTAGCAAAGGATGTAACACAAATAAAAATAAAAATGGCAGCCTTTCCTGACGACATTCATTCTGCTCGCTACAGCTCAGGAACAGTGAGCATTTTATTTTTATTTAAAAAAAAAAAAAAAAAAAAAAAGATTTAACAAGAATCTCACTCCAACAACAGCTGTGAATTTTATATAACAGAAATATATAAAATGTCCATTCACAGTGTATTGATAATATAAATGTAATAAAATGTAACTATAATGACAGGTTGCAGTGGTGATGCTACCTAATAAAGTGAAGGTTTTATCGTTCGGAGCGGACTGGCTGTCTCTAGATCAGCTCTTACGTGAGGCCGCCCTCCACGCAGGAAAGGGTTACGAAACCGCACATGCCGGAGCTGCAGCCCCTGGCCCAGAGGGAGACGAAAGCGTTCATGCAGAGGCCCCAAAAGCTTTACGCTTTCGCTAATTAAAATATGACACGCGCTTCCTCTTGGTATAGTACTGTACACTCGGCCATAATTACAGCTGCAGGTATGCATTCCTTAAGACACGTACGTTGTTCTTGCACTTTGATTTAAGACGCACGTCGGTTTTACTGACAGAGACAGACTGTTGGTTTTTTGGGGAGGCAGGCAGGGAGGGAGGGGGGGGGGGGGGGGGCAGAGCACAGGAGACCATGGATACCATGTGTAAGGTGCCACTCCTACATCAGCCGTTATAGCATCTTCACGTAGTTCTCGGGGATGAGACCCCTCCTCCCTTCCAGTACACCCTCCAGCCAGCCGGGCTCCCTGGAAACTATCACTGTGGAGGGGGGGGGGACCATTACACAGCAGCAATGGTAACACGGACGGCACGATGGACTGCCAAGGAGCACCAGTGTGGCAGTCTGCACATGCTGATCTAACATCTATGTTCCACGGTTTGGAAGGTCTACTGAATCAACGCTCAGTTTTTCCATCGATAGTTCATTTATTCAATTTTTTTTATTATATATATATATATTTTTTAAATACACCAGGAATAGGCTGCAGAACACGATGGTGGATAAACTCACCGTCGTCGAATATGGCGCCCACCTGGAAGGACAGCTCGGAGTCGTGCTCGGCCTCACACGGAAACACCGCCTTGGCCTTGCGGCCCGGGATGCTGGGGGGGGGAGAGGGGGGGAGCTCAGCAAGTTCAGAGGACCAGACCCCATGCCTGACACGGATGAAGGGGTGGAGCCATTGTCCCTCCTGATTGGTCTGGTTAAGCATCCTGGTCACCTTCTATGGCAGTGTCTCTCAATCTGGTCCTTGGGGACCCACTGGCAGTTCCCGTTTCTGCTCTTGAGAGGGAGCAAAAATGTTTACTGGCTGTGGGTCCCAGAGGACCGGGACGGGAAACGCTGTTCTATGGCACCAGCCCTCCTACCAGCTACACCGACGACAAATTAAACTGCAGCTTGCGATATAAAGTTAGCGCTCAAAGTGGAGATTCAGAAAACAGAAATCCTGCACCCCCTTTCCCCCCCCCCTACAGCTGTTTTTCGTAGTCTCTTATTCTGACAAATACTTCGTGGTTCTTATCTGATAAATCTAACCGCGAGCCGCCTAAGAAATGCAAGCCGTAGATGTGTTTGGTGTGCAGAATATATGGTTATTATTTTGGGCTCAGCAGTATTTTCAAAGGCTCTGCGGGAGAACAAATATTTATTTCAACTGGCAGACTTACTAGGTGGAGGCAGGTAGCATTCAATACTTGATAACATGATAAATATTTCATACGCTTCCTCTGAGAAGGCCGGCGTGCAGGCGAGGGCCTTGCTGAATGATACATAAACCGGCTGAAGTTGGTAACAAACTAAGCTGTCAGCTCGACACTTTGCATGCCGGCCACCGCGTTTGCATTGGGGACAGAGGCATGTGACGCTAAGCAGTGAGCTGCATGCGATGCGCCTGATGGACACTGTCACATTGAGAATGGCGCGGCTCTCTGTCCCCGTACCCTTAAACCATTCACTGCTTCCAGTATTCCAGACCGGCCGGCGGATCCAGCACTCGCTTGAGTTGCCCGCTATGCTTCCGAGAGGTTTGGAAATGCACGGATGCGTGTGCAATCGAGGCCGGCAGTGGAACGCTGATGTCAGAGCGCATTTCTGGGCAGAGGGTGCGGCGGGTACCTCTCGTCCCTCCTGTCGGTGTCGGAGGCGGTCACCGCAGACGCCGCACTGGTCAGGTCGTCGGCGCAGACGGAAGCAAGGTTCCACCAGAGGGCCGTGGAAGGTCTGCGAAGGACAAGGCACAACGACGTCAGCTCTCCTCCCGTCCAAGCCCCCCGAGCGGACGATGGATGCGACCTCGCCGTGGACTTCAGGTGAAGGATGACCGCGGCGTCCGCCCTATAAGTCTCGTCTTGGCAATTAGCTATGGAAGAAGTGTCGCATTATGCAAAGTCAGGCAGGCTGGCCTCTGGAAGGAAGATGCACTCCACAGCTGCACGCAGCGGGCCCTTTAATGCGATGGCATCGAGGCCGCTCGCTGCGGGAGGCGCTCACTGGAGCACAGATTCCTGCTATAAGTAGCTTGTTATTTTAAAGCTGAGTAAATTAGTGTCGTGCCTGCACCTGATGTAAACATCTATGCGCTGCAGTGCTTCTTGGGATGTGAGGTGGGAATTAACACAGGCCGAGAGGCGGGAGAAAGAGGAAAAAAATCCCAGATCTGAAACCACTTCCTGTCCGGGAATCATTCAAAACATTATGCCAGTTGCAGTCCTGATTAATAACTCGCTGACTTACATAACATGCACAGCGGGGATGATGAAAGTGAGATCATGATCTTGCAGCCTTACGGCGCACATGAAGCCCCATGACAGCCCGGAAAATGCAGCAATGTGATGCAAATATGTCCTTTAAAAACACTCCAGGTACCAGGCTGTGCAGCAGCTGTGTGTGTGTGTGTGTGTGTGTGTGTGTGTGTGTGTCAGGTGCAGAGCCAGTCAGAGTCTCAGTAAAGGTGCAAAGCCATAAGACTTTAAAGTGCTCCCAGCTTTCAGAGTCCTGGGGAGTGTTTCAGGGGGTGAGGCCCCCACACCCTCCTTGTTGGTTTAACGGGACAACCCCCGCCCCCTCTCCACCTGGCTAGCTAGCGTGAGCTAAAAGGCTAATCGGCTGCTTGCATCTTTGTTTGCTGGAGGATGAGGTCTGTTTAAGTGGCTCTGAGGCTGTGTATTAGTTTTGCATAGACGCGGCATTCCCGGGAGGACGGCGAATGCCGCCGCGTGCAACCCGGGGAAAAAGCAAAACGGAGGAAATCATAAAACGCATCAACACATAGCTGCACTGTTCTGTCAATTAAATAAACTCTGTCGACATTTTCTGGAACTCGGCAGCATCGGTGAGGAGAGACTATCCCGAAGGTAACAAATTAAGAGACTTTATTTCCAAGAGAGCAAACAGCCTGGGAACAGCCACCCCCCCCCCTCCCCAGCCCATACTGCACTGAAGCAGGTTCATTTTAACAGCAGTGAGTGTTAAAAAAAAAGAAGTGAATTTTAATAACAGAGGACAAGAAAAGAAACATCTGATAGGATAACAGCCCTCACACCGCAGGGTGTGATTTCGCCAGAGCGGGCCGGCTTATTTTCCTGCCTTCTTCAGCGAAGGCTGCAAAACAGATTCGGTTTCTAAATATTTTCTCAAAGCAAGTTTCATGTCGTCCGTAAAAGCTCCTCGCGGGATAATGAATGTTTTAAACAGTGCGTGCACAGTAGCTGAACCACAGTGTACAGCATGGTTTTTTGAAAATAAAATGTGAATGTTTTTTTAATTCACAAATAATAATAATAAAAAAAGCACAGATGCCCGAATTATTGTAACTTTGATTGTAAGATGATTGGATCAGTGTGGTCCGTTTGTAGCAGGTTCTGGTGCCCGGCACCCCGGTTGCTGTCCGACCACCACACAGCGCAGCGCTGCCTGGGCCGCGGACATGCTAATGCAGGATTTAATCGGTAAATTGCTGCCACCGATTGCTCCCATAGAGACGATAATAATGGCAATTATTGGTTGGACGGAGAGAAGTTGCGGTACACGGGGGGGGCCGGTGGCATTATCCGTGATTTATGGCTCTGCAGAGGCTGGCCGGCGCTCCGCTGCATCATCGCAGGAGGGACCGAGCGCTGCAGTGCAGCAAATGCGCTCATTAACCTCGCGCTGTCTGGACGGGCAGCGGCCCCTGTGTCGGGGGGGGGTCTCAGGCCTGGGCACACAGGGGAACGCTTGTGGCTCTGGACCGTGCTGCTGAGATCGCAGACCACGACTGTTGCGCACCCAGGTCAAAACTCCCACTTTCCTGAGGAGCAGGTACTGTGGACGCCGTGAAAAGCATCGACAGAGCCGGCAGCTTGCTGGGTGAGTTCAGGCTCCAGTCATTTCATATTGTGATTGCTTGGAAACAACAAAAAAATAAAAATCACAGGGCGCAACGCCAGCCGGGTAACAGCCGCTTTTTGAGGAGACAGGAAAATTGTAAACGCTATTTTAGGCAACGCAATTCAAGCTACTCGCCTGGTTTAATCAGTGTGGACATAAAATACAAAACGCATGTAAATCACAGTATATACAGACAAAAATTCCATATTGTATCTTGACAAACATACATGCAGAGAGAAAATATTATCAGTTTACAGATATCGATGTACATCTTATCCAGTGTCAGCCAGTCCCTGTATCTCAAGGGCCTAACTGTGACATCACTGCCGACCCCTGAGATGTGAACCAGCAACCTTCTGATCACGGGCACAGCATCCTAACCCACTGAAGCACACACGGCCCCACAAATACCACAATGATGCTTCTCTGCAATTTTAGAAGATTTTCAAAAAATTTGAAAAACAGCAAATTACCAGGAAGATGAACGTGCCTGATCTGGCAACCCCCAGCACTGGGCTGCTATAAAATCTTCCACGGCAGCTGACAGATCTCCCCCCCCCACCCCCTTTGACAGAGCGGGCTGCTCCTCTGGACTGGTATAGCACACAGGCTCCAGGGTAAAACCGCGGTTCCTCGTTAGGAGAAATCGCAGCACGACTGAGGGCTCAGCAGAAGGAGGTCTGGCAGCGGACATGAACACAAGGGGAGGCCAGACTCTGAGCAGCTCAAAGCCCCCCCCCCCCCCCCCAGGAGAGAGGGAGACAAGCGGGCCGTGTTCAACCAGCTGAAACACCCTAACGTACCAAACAATAAATCACCCCCTCATCTCCTAAGCCCGGACCCCACTAAGTACCCAGATGAACAGCTTGCAAATTCTTTTTGCACCTTGGGTCCAAGGCGTGTGCAAACATGGACGTCACGCTGCAGTGGAACATCGCCCTAGCTGGGCCGGGCTTCGGGCTCTGGGACAGGGTTTAGAGGTCATTAGGGTAGAGAACACAGACACATGTATGTACAGAGATCAGATTTGCGCTCTTTCAAGTGAAGGAGCAACTTCAAAAAACAGAACAGGATAAGACTCTTGCAGAGATTACACACCGACGCACCAACAAGCATGGAAGAGATGCACCTAACCCCCAAAGAGAACAGAATAGATAATACATTGTTTCTGACAGTACACAGTCGTACTCTACCCTACATTCTGAGCCTGTTTCTGAGACCGAGAAATAGTATTTCCGGGCAATTCCGCACAGTCGGCAAAGGCCCGAATCTTGCGGCATAGTATTGTTACCTCCTGCATCAGCATTCGAGTCGGGCTGCGCACTGCAAGCGGCAGAAATGAAAGTCCCAGGAAGGCAGACCGGTGGGGGCGGGGGGGACTGCGCAGCCTCCACACTGAGCCGCTGCGAACAGAGAGATGGAGCAGCCGGGGGAGGCGCATGGGGGGAGCAGTGCTGAGCACAGTGGGCACTCTGCTCCTGCCAGGCCGTGGCTGCTGACCCGCAGGCAGGTCGAGGCGACGTCGGCAGGGGGGGCGAAGAAGGAAACGCTCACCGCAGCAGAAAAGGACGAGGGCATCGGCAGGGTCTCGACCTGCAACCGTAACTATGGCGCCGAACACAGCCGGCGCCGGGTCGTTCCGCTTCGCGTCTGACCTTGGTGCCGCAGTCGTGACTTGTTCTGGGGCATGCGGTTAGAGAACCCACCCCCCCCCTCAAAAAAAAAACAAAAACAAAAAAAACAACCACGCCGGTTGTGTGTGTGGTCGCGTCCCGTTGGGAAGCCGGGATGCGAGCCCATCAGCGATAGCGAGGCGTGCGCCTGGGAGGATGTTAATTCAGGGCGAGCCGCGAATCACTGAGTCACGAAACAGGCAGATGTGCCTAAACGCCAGGATTTGCTGAATCCTTTGCCAGGTGTGTATATGGAGAAAAATAGCAGAAATGAGGGCAGTATGTTCTGAAGAGCTCTCAGCTACACTCCACCGAGTCACTCACTTTGATGTAGTTCATCTTTTTGCACTACATTTTTATTGATCGGTCATTTTTTATCGGTCGTCAGTTTTAGCACCGGCTAATAAAAACTCTACTGTAACTGTCTGGCTACTTACCCTACAGCGTCCGCCACACCCCGGGCACTGCTGGCCTCGCTCCCACCCAGGGCATTCTGGGTTTTCTCTGTAGGCGAGCCGGATGTGGAGGACTGGGATGAGACCGACTCGTCGCTGCCCAAGGAGACGGCATCCAGGACCATGCCGGTGCACACTGACGGGAAAAACCATGCGAGACAGTGTTGGCCATTTTCAGCAACCGCGTGGAAATGGGTGGGGGCAAGGGGGGGAGGGGAGAGCAGACTGCAGAGGCCAAGTCAATCAACACTCTTGGGGTTAGTGAGTAGAACCAGTACAGTACCGGCGCAGCAACATCAAAGAGGACAGGAAGGATGAAAGGACGTTAAACTGTGACACATCGAAATTTATGAAAATTACGAACAGAAGACATCCATAAGTTATTGAGCTATGTGAGGTAATCTGCTACCAGTGAATAAGTGCTCACTGTGCAAACAATGCAAAGGTCGTTCAAATCCCAGGGAACACACACAAACTAACGCTTCCCTCTACTGCAGTGTCTCCAAATCCAGTCCTCGGGGACCCACATCCGGTCCACGTTTTTGCTCCCTCCCAGCTCTGAAAATGTGGAGCAAAAATATGGACCGACTGTGGGTCCCCGAAGACCGGATTGGCAAACGCTGCTCTACTGGTAAGTTGCTCTGGATAAAAGCATCAGACAAATGAATAAATCGAAAATAATGTTTTTTTTAACACACATTTCCTCGTGTGTAACCAGCATCCCAGAGGTTACCTCCGAAGAGGGAGATCAGTCGATTGAAACAGAATCCGAACCCCACAAATCCCGCCTTCCTTTGAAGAAGGCCACAATATTCCATATGTTCTCGAATGTTCTTATGCCCTCCGTAAAAGGCGGCCTGAGCTATCGCCATATTCTGCGGCCTCTGAAAACCGACCTTAGCATTTTTTATCTGACCTCAGTTTCATCGGGATTAACTATTGGTTTTAGGGGACCAATAGGAAGGCTCTTGAAATATTTTGTTGGCACTGTGAATAAACACAATACCGTTCAGGGATGGGAACACAGAAGCCAATGAAATATACTTTGTCCAGAGGTGTGACAGCCGAAGTATATTATGCTCCTATTTGGGATTATTATGGGTTTTCTATAAATGCTGGCCGTCAAACTTATGTGCATGAATCACTATCAGTAAACAGGCCGATCTCAAATTACAGAGCAGCAGTGGTTTAGATGTACTTGGGAAATTTAGTGGGACTGTCACTCCATTTCCTACCCAGTGCTTTTTAATTGTGAGATTGTCAAAGTGTTCGTTCACGTTTTTTCTAACTTTGTGCTAGCAAAATTACAGGCAACTGGACGCAAGGCAATAAGGATGAAGGCAGGACTGTTATGTGTGCAGTGTGCTATCTGGCTGGCCGAAGTAAACATCCTTCCTGCTATCTTCTAGATCCTCGGTACCCACAGCGGATCGTGTTTTTGCTCCCTTCGAGCTCCCTGCCAGACAGTCCACGTTTTTATTCCCTGGGAGCAAGAAAAACATGGACTGTCTGTGGGTCCCCAAGGATCGGATTGGGAAACACTGTTCTAGGTGCTTATCCTGGTCCAGGTCATGACAGGCCCTAGAGCCAATCTCCTGAAGCACAGGGCACAAGACTGGGGTACACCCAGGACAAGACGCCAATCCATCACAGGGCACATACTGGCACATACACGATCATAATTTAGGAGCAATTTAAAGAAGCCAATAAGCCTAACTGCCTGCCTTTGGATTTCGAGAGGAAACCTGCGAAAGAACATGCAAACTATACGAGGTGGGAGTTGAACCCCCAACGCTGGAGGTATGAGCCAATAGTACTCACTGAACTTGTGTGACGCCAGAAGTATATATTATTATTGGTAATAAAGATGTGGCTCATGACAGTTCAAATAACATCTATTGCTAAAATTCAAAACCCGAGAAAGATTTTAAAGATAAAAACTGACCTCACAACATTCTCTGATCGGCGATTTACATTCATTAAAACCATATTACATGTTGGCCTATGGCTTGGCTGAGCTCCATTTGCATGACATAATCATTAACCAGCTATAAGCGGCTTTTAAATATAGTTAATGGCACGCCACAATAACCGCCATAGATAAACGTAAATGTCTGCATCCTGCAGTCCGTTGGCACAAGTTCTCTCAGGAATCTGGGGCCGTTTTAAAATCTATTTTTACGTAATGACAGAACTCCATTCTTTTCATCCGGCCTGCCAGACCAGTCGAGCAGCTCCAAAAAAGTGACTCAACTCAGGAGACCTTAATATACGCCCCCCCCACCCCCCCCACCCCTGGGTCGCCTCACGTGTGACATCAGCTGTGAACGTCTCAGGCAATTAACATATAAAAATACATAAATCAAAAGAAAACACCAACAACTTATTGTCGCATAAATTATAAATGAAGCTAATTTGATTCCCTATTCTCTGCAATTTACCATCATTTCACAATATATTTCGATTACGATAGTTTCCCTATAAACTAAATTAAAGGGACTCGACAGAGAGAAATCCTTATAATTCAGCTGACACCCTATTTTTAAACACAACTATGTAAACTGTACTGTTCTTAAAAGCATATTGTCAGAAGTTTCTCAAACTATCAGAACACTCCGACTCCATCTGCTAAATAACTGAAGGGGGGGGGGGGTGAGGCTTATTGTCCTGAAGAAACAGCACAATTTAAATTTGAAACCACAGCGTCTTTTCAGAACGCGCCAATATATTGTTAACACATTTGTTCCCATTCCTCTCTGGCAAAATGGCCCGTCTTTGTGCAGCTGGAGCAGAACAATATGAAATGAAACGACATCTTTGCAAAACATCCAACTAGGTTTTGATTTATCGTTTTTTTCTCTCCCTCTCTTTTTTTTTTGAAAACCCGATATTTCTGGGATTCTAAAGTGCAGCGTCCTTGAAATCCAATAGCAGCTGGAAAGCCGTACGGCACAAACGTGTCGGGATGCTTTTCCTCGGCGGCAACCGATAAATACCCGGAGCGACATTTCGGGACCGCAAACTCTAAAGCCCGCTTTCAGTCAGCTGAGAAAACCAATTTAAAAATCATTACCCTGAGCTCAGAGAAAAGACGCAAAGGTTAAAAAAGGATTAGACATTTCATCCCGTGTTTTATACGCGCCGCGGTAAAAAATCTGGCAGAGCGCGGAGAGAGACGCAATCTGGTAAGCAGATTTCCGCTCCCTTAATACCCCGGCACTGACGCGGTGGTGGGGGCTGGCCAGCATTCCAGGTGACCCTACTCACCTGACACAGGAAGGGAGGAGGGGATCGGGCCCTCGCAGGCCAGCCGCTTGCTCTGCCTCATCCAGAACCGGGGCACTGGCGGCTAGGGGGCACCGTCGTTGGTGGCCGAGGCGCTTCCTCGAGGACGAGGATTTGCGGCGACGCCGTATCTCTATATTGCGATTTCTCTGAATATGCTTTAATTCGAGAGCAATGCAGCGAAACACCAGTCCCATACTGGTACCCAAAAAGGCGGGCCGGTATAATTCAAGCAAATTTGGTCAAGGCTGCAGACTTCACCCTGTAACTTAACGATATTAATAACGCTGGGTAGGCATTTTATTCTGTTGGTGTACGATATTAGCTAACGTGGCGGCTACAGAGTGGCTGTGACAGAGATCTCTGGCACTCCTCACATCCTGCAAGCATTAATCTGGCTCCACTCTGTGCACGTGACCCAGCCTCTTATCCCTGTGTCCGCCACGGCTTCCACAGGTACTGCGCCTTCTTTAAATAGCCCCAGCCTCACGCCCTGTGTCTCCTGGGATGGGCTAGCAGTGACCATGAGCTGGATAACAGGCGAGTGGAAGCAGACGAGTTTAGGAGGGACATAGAGGGCGTGCGTCAGGGGTCGATAGCCCCCCCCGGGGAAAGACGGTCCTCACCTGCAATGTCCCCCATTTGGGGGTTGTAGACAGCCAGGGGGCGGGATTGGCGACTCGATTTCTTGGACAGCCTGGTTGGGGTGATGAGGGACTTCGATGGCAACCCACCAGGGGTGTCGCCGAAAATCTGCAAACGGCCATTTTGACAACGTGAACTTTGGAGGCCGAGAAAGAGACCAGTCTGCCATTTTGGAAAAGGCACAAGGGTAACACAGACAGATTAGGTACCTATATCTTTGTGGGGACTCTGCATTCACTTCTAGGGGCATAACCCTAATCCCAGCAATGACAATCTTAACCCCTACCCTGCCCTAATCTTAAACATAAGTAAACAAACAAAATACAAGACTTTTGGCATTTTTCGTATTTTGATTGCAGTCACAGATTATAATAAAACTGTTTCCTCTTGGTCCCCACAACATAAAAATAACAGGTTCTTAACACATTATGAGGACATTTGATTCCCACAATGTAATCTACACATGACCCACACACAGACAAGCTTCATTCAGCTGATGGCCCAGGGAGTAACACGACAGCCCTGAGAGAAGGTAGTGCTATCGATAACACGCTACTGGGACTTCAATGTCGAGGGTTCATAAAGACGAGAGAAGAGGGAACGAGGAAAGTGGACACCCTGGTGAGAGAACATCTCGCACGGGTGAGTCGAGGAGAAGGTGGGGGTGTGGGGAGAGCATGGGGAGGGCGGGGGGAGCCTGCCCCCGCTAAAAATCAGCAGCAGCCACCCGGCACGTCTACAGAAGGAGCAGAATGCAAAACACCATCTACCGGCTGGCTTCTGGGGGCACGAACAGTCTGGAAAAGGCACGACTGAGAGGAGAGTAGAACACGCCCCCCCCTGCTCCCGCCCCCGCCCCCCAGCGACATCCCCAGGGCTCCGGGTTCGCACTGAACTGCGGCTGCCTCATTAAAACTCCTGCCGCAAATACTACTTCCAGGAAATAATTTCAAAACCAGAGTGCAGATGGGAGTTTTGAGGAAAAACAACATAAAAAAAAAAACACACGAAAAATACGAGTGCCCAACCAAGCCAAATGCAATTCTTAAAAACAGAATAAATGAATGAACTATAAAAATGAATTAGACTTCAGCTTATCATATATCATCAAAGCCAAAGTTTAAACAGAATCATGGTAATTAAGACGAGCGGAATGCTTAATGCCAAATGCTGAATGTGTTACAAGCTACATCAATCAGTTTAGAAATTTACGGCAAAACAGTGTGTAATGAAAAAAAATGATCTTTAATTTACTGACACAGCTGGAGACACGCTAACGAGGGCTGGAAGAGCGGAACAGTTATTTTATGTCATATTTTCAGTGGGGAATTGAGAGTAGAAACATGCTAACTGTCACGTGCTCCAACGTTGCGGGATTTCGACGTTTCATCCAGACAACCTAGTGAAGCAGAGCTCCGCCCATTTGGGACAGAGTGGGCGGGACTTCCTGGCATCCGGCTGCCCTCAGACACTGCAGTATCATCAGCCTCCTTTATAGATTCCCCTGAGGTACAAGTGGGAGTTTAAAGCGGGCGCTGCCTTGACAGAGCAGACCGGTACCTTCTGGTGGTGCTCAATGAGGATCTCCACGTCGATATTCTGGAACTTCAGCTCCATGATGGCGGCCACAGTCTCCTCCTGGGGCCTCATCAGCGTGGGGCCGAAGACCACGCCCAGATTGGCAACAGTCATAAGGTTCTGCTTGCTGTTCTCAGCCACTCTGAGGGCAGAATGCAAGCGTAGTTTCTGAACAGCTTCCATATTTAATAGTGCGATCGAGGACACGGGCATATAAACATATACTCGACAGCTGGTGCAGGTACATCGATTTGGGTAGGATAACCTCCTTGTCTACTTCGTGAGCAGTTCTCCTGACTCCAGACCGAGCTGCGGGGTCAACATTTACAGCAGATCATATATTTATGGAGAACAAGGTCCGGGAGGTCATCACCACATCAGGGGAAGCACATCTGCAGCACGATCCGATCGAGTTCAACACCCAGCCTCTGTTAGTTATAACCATGCGACAAGAGATAATGATACGACGAGTCCCTCTCTCCCAACCTTCCCCGGAGAAGAAGTATTACACTCGACCAACAGCATGTAAAAACAGCAGTATACCGCCCAGCAGGGCGTAACACCGGAAGCCTACCTGGCCAGATGTTTCATGAGAAGGCCGAGCACGGCCCGGTTCTTCTCTGGAAGGTTATGGACCAGGGCGTGAATCGACTGCACGCGGGATTCAGGGCTGCCACTCTCTGTTTTGAAAAGACGGACAGAGACACACACACAAAAAAAGTGCTTTAAGGTCCCGAGAGGTGACTGGAAGCCATTCTGTGCAGGGAGGCCTTTCAGCAACCTGCCCAATTATCCACCGCGTTCACATTGTTTTACACAACTAAAGCCAGCTTTATTCACCATTACCCTGTCATTCTGATCCTTTTAAAGACTTCATTTTGCATCACAGCGTAAACAAAGGTCAAAGGTGAAAATGTGTATAGATGAGAATCCAAATTCTGTCTGGTAAACCAACAGAAGGACGGCATGGAGAGCCTACAAATTACACAAATCTGGGACCTGCTGCACGCGAGTGGCAGCATTGACGCCGCCCAGACCTCATCTCCTCAAATTTCCTCACACAATCTAGTGCCTGATAGCTGCCACCACCGCCCACGCATCCGAGATCCATCACCACAGGAATGACACGAGCTCCTAGAGGCAAACGGCTCCTTACGGACGCTGTCATCCTTCAGGAAATATTCATCCCTAATCCATCCCCTCCCCCCCAGTACCACCACTCCACCAGAGTGCGGCATCTTCCATCATCTTTAAGAAATGCTTGTAATCCCATCTGCTCATTTAGAAAAGACAAAACATACAACGTTTACACGCAGGCTGTGTAAGAAGGTGCGTGGTGGTTGTGTCATTTGCCCACACGTAACGCACCGCAAACGCTACAGTGTTAAACGCTTTCATGTGCATTAAGTTGGAGTGTGACATGACGGCACATAACCGAGATCAGCATGCACGTGCTTCTATTGAATCAATCAGTCTGTGGGTGGGGCGGGGGGGGGAGACAACAGTCAGGTGACCAGGAAGAGAGGAAGGTGACTAGGATTTAGGGGTTAATTCTATTCATCCTGCCTGTTTTCAGTCTAACCACACTTGTTTCCGATGCCAGCCCCGTAAGATCTGTAATGGTAATAAGGCATCTGATTTATCCCCAACGCACCCAACAAAGAAATTCCTTTATTTCTGACTTTACTTTTCTGTTGCTATTGCCCCCCCCCCACCAGGACCCAGGCTGTCCCTAAAAAGGGAAGCGTTTCCCCTGTTAAGCCTCGAGTTTGCTGCCATGTGCAGGTGTCTCATGGATACGCTTACCCCTCTGACCGGGCGATGCCTAGCCCCCCCCCCCCCCCCCCCCCAAAAAACAACACCCCCCCACCCCCCCCCCCCCCCCCCCCCCC